TAACTAATCAATTTGTTACAACCTGCAATTAAATTTATCTACTCCAATAGGAACACATTTATTTTCTCTACTCAAACCAAACTTCTGGAAACTGTAAAATGTTATACAGACACTGACAAAAATAAATAAGCTTTACAATTTTTGCTACCTGTTTGGTAGTTACATACGAAATAATAATTGGGCAGGAACAACAATTAATTTTATGCAATTATGTTAAAAGTGAGATTATTGATTCTTGGTATCTTGTTAGACATTTTGGCAAAAATTTGAAGAAATCTTTGGCTAGTTTGACAATATTTATGAATCTAGAGTTAGTTCCAATATGAAGATTGGAAAAACTTTGGCGGTTGTTGTAGAAAAAAAAGAAAAGCTCAAAACCCCAACGCCAAAACACGACACTGTAGTTGTCCGAAGCACTTTTCGGTAACAAAGTTACCTTCTTCAGGGACTGAAGTAAACTTCAGTAACTTTGTTACCGAAAAGTGCTTCGGACAACTACAGTGTCGTGTTTTGGCGTTGGGGTTTTGAGCTTTTCTGTTTGTTCTAGAGTTAGTTCGTTGTGAAACTTTGTTAAAGTAAATAAATAAAATAACGAAATTGCTTTTAATATTTATACTATAATGCAGTATTCAATCTACTACTGTTTCGGCCCCCTAAGCCGTTGTCAAGAGTATTTCTGAGGTATTAAACACTTTTATACGTTCAGCCCGTTACCAATGCAAACATAATGTGGGTGAATTTATAAGCCACGATGATAAAACTTCAATATTACTATTTGGGTCGTTTATGATGGAATTGTCATGGAAAATAAAATTGTCGAGCGTCAGATCTGACGGTCGGTCGGGTCGACGATCGCAGGTTGCTAGGCTTTTACTAGACTACAAGTAATTGCAAATAGACGCGTAAAGGATAAATATTTGATAATTGAATAATGTCGATGCTTTGCGTCTATAAAAGCTACGATTTTAGGTTTTGTGCTAGAATGACGGCCTTCAAAATTTCAACCCCTAATTGCATTGCTTTACATTTTATCGCCATAAATGAGTTGTGAAATAATAGAGCGAACTGTTTAAAGATTTTAAACACCAACATACGAGAAATGTTAAGGAAATTCCAACTTAACACTAAAAAGGGGAAAGTCCCGGAGGACTATTAACGGAATATGGTTGTAGCCATATCAAACATGAGAAAAGGGGCGGAAGAATTATTAGGATTCGTAGATTTAGAACAGACAGAAAAGTCGTATATAGTTTGTATTAGGAGCAGTTATAGAACATGACCAGCAACGTAGAGGAAATAAATAACAGGAAGGGAGTTAGACAAGGATGCTTTTAATTTTTATATCGAAGATACTATCATTAAAGATAATGGGATTGAGATATTAGGGATAGACATACAGGGATAAAAGAATAACATACTTAGACCTCCAGATCATATAGCAGTGTTACCATCTACCACATTGATTTAAACAGCATAATTATAAAACTCACTGGCTTAGAGACAAGACGAATGTAAATAAAATAATAAGTTAATTACAATGTACAATTAAAAACCACGTGGGTACAATAAAAGACAATACTCTAATATAATATTAGAAATGGTAGGAGAACAGAGAGAACTATGGAAGTCAATAGGAAATAGGCCAGATAAATTGGTAGGACACCTTATCAGACATGAAGGGCTGAACATTTTAGAAGCAGAAACAAAAGTTTCACAAGGAAGGGCAGATTAGATGAGATAGATGTGGGATGTTTACTTTTCAGAAGAAAAATACCTAGCAACTTCTTCACCTTTCCTCTCACGGTATAAAATTATGCAATTACTTGACTACTTTCGATGTCCTTTAATCGGAATCAATTAGATTAATATTTGACAGAGGACTTAGGTCAGGTTTTAGAATGAGCGAACTCCTTGAATGGCTTTGAGATTTTCATTCCATTTCATAACTCTCCTTGCATAATCTTTTGTTTTTTAGTTTGCAACTATTACACGCTGTTCTATGAATATCTATTTTTAACTATGTTTACAAAGTCCGTTATTTAAATAACCAGAAAATTAGTTACACTATTGAAGCAAATTAATATTTGTATGCATTTATATAGAAATACGTATAGGTATTTGTCCGTAGTACAATATAAATGAGTTACACACACAATTAAAGAAAACTTTTGGTTTGCTAATTCCATAAGTATGAAGGTAGCGATATCGCGTGAATGTTATTGCATATCGTTCATCGTTTTTTATTCTTAACTAGTGTGAATGTTATACCACCAATAAGGTACAAAAACGTATACGTATAATTAGGACTGCTTTTTATGCTCATTGCTAAATCACCAAGAAGCATTTTCCCAAATGGAAACAATTTTGATACAGATACCTTTTTATGCAAGGGAAGAAAAAGTAGGGTAAGAGCGAATATAAAGATAGGAGAAAATTAGAAGAAGTGGCTGATTTTCGATACCTAGGAAGTCGGGATGGAAGGAGTAGTAGGGATATAAAGCAGAGGATAGCGCAGGGTCGTGTCGTCTTTAATAAAAAGAAGTCACTTCTATGCTCGCGAACGGTTAATTTAGAAATTCGAAAAAGGTTGTTAAAGGTATATGTTTGGAGCACGGCATTGTACGGGTGCGAAATATGGACAGTGGCGCGGCGGAAAAGAAAAGGTTAGAAGCGTTCGAAATGTGGTGTTGTAGGCGGATGATGAGGATATCGTGGGTAGAAAAGGTTAGAAATGAAGAGGTATTGGAAAGAATAGGAGAACAGAGGACTCTATGGAAGTCAATAAAAAATAGGCGAGATAGGTTGGTAGGACACCTTCTTAGGCATGAAGGTCTAGTCAGAGACATATTAGAGGCAGAAACAGGAGTTAGGAGGGGTAGAGGTAGACCTAGATTAGATTACTGTTCGCAAATAGTTAAGGATGTGGGTTGTTGTAATTTTAGGGAAATGCGAAGATTAGCTCAGGATAAGAAAGAGTGGAGGTACGTGTCCAACCAATCTTAGGACTAACGACCTTATGATTGATGACCTTTTTATTTGCATATACTGGCAGTGGCGTAGCTAGACAATTAAGAATCCATGTGCAAAATATTTTTGGAGCTCCAATTGAAGAAAAAATTACTAAATGTAATGTGACGTAAATGTAACTAATATAAGAAACAGTGAAAAAAGTCAGAAAACAATGGCTTGACGTCATCATCATCATCATACGGTCATCAGTCCTAAGGCTGGTTGGACACGCATTTCCACTTTTTACTATCCTGAGCTAATCTTCACATTTCCTTAAAACTAGAACGTCCCACATCCTTAACTATTTGTGAACAGTAATGTAACCTAGGTCTACCTCTACCCCTCCTAACTCCTGTTTCTGCCTCTAATATGTCTCTGACTAGACCTTCATGCCTGAGAAGGTGTCCTACAAACCTATCTCGCCCATTATTTATCGACTTCCATAGAGACCTCTGTTCTCCTTTTCTTTCTAATACCTCTTCATTTATAACCTTCTCTATCCACGGTATCCTCATAATTCGCCTGTACCACCACATGTTGAACGCTTCTAATTTTTTTCCCGCGCCCACCGTCCACGTTTTGCACCCGTATAGCGCCACATGACGTATACAAAAAATAAATCAGTTCAACCGTTTTTAATTAATGTTTTCCAGACAGGGCGCCTAGCCCTATGATAGCTACGCGCCTGCATTTTAGATATGCTTTAGATATATGTATACATAACATGCATAAAAATTTAATTTTCATCTTATGAAACAGTACAAAACAATTCGTAGTTTTAATTAGGTAATTAATTGATTCGTTATTGCTGACATGTACCAAACACGAGTTTAATAAAAAAATACTAAGACACAGGCGAGAAATTAAACGATAAGTAGATAAATGTAAAATGGACAACGTAAATATGAATTGGTAAAAAAAATAAATACATAGATAAATAATAAATAAATTCATTTTGGTCAGTATCTAATCAATTTTCGGTTAGTAATGTATTACCAAAATGGTCAGTATGAAAATATTAAACGATTATTATAAAACTGACTGTACGTAAATCCATAACGTAGTATATTAATTATTATTTACTGGGTAGGTTAGGATGGGTTAGGTTAGTTAGTTGGTTAGTTACTTACTGGCCATTTATATTTAAATAGGAACCTGTCATATTCTAATATTGACCACCAAAGCATACTGACCATATTAATTTAAATACTGATCAAGTAAAACATAAATCCAAGACAAATATGGATAACAGATTCTCAAACATGTGTGAATTAAACTGCATAAATTTTTCGGCTTGACTTTTTGGATTAATAACTTTAAAAATGAATAAGTAGTTCTATATTACTTACAATTAGTTATATTATTTACGACTGATACAATGGAAAATTTTTATGGTTACTAAAACTTATCATTTTATTAAGGACAATGTGATTAGTTTGCTAGGTAGTAGGTCATAAATATCTACAAGCAATTTTCTACGTTATCATTAATATCTAAAAATAATAAAATTGACAGAGTTGTTATGTAGATCGTTGAATTAAAACAAATAGAACTTAATTGCAGGTCATAAGTAACAAAAACATGTACACGCATGATGCTTAAGAGACATCCAAATTTTATACAATGCAGAATTAATGGGAGATGTGTACCACCCACTTAAAAATTTCTTACAATTAGCAAGAACATCACATTAAATTTCAATTGAAGACAAGCGTATGTCTACATGTATATATAAATGACCTTCTTAGGCAATTCAAAAAGAATCTTAAATTATTAACCGCATCTAATTTATACAAAATATTACGTAAATAAAGATTTTATTAAAATATTTTAATTTTAATAACTTTTTATAATATTTCATTTCACTAATAGTAAGTTTCGGTTTTATTAAAGAATTTCTATTTGTTGGTGTTATGTGTTATATATAGTAGGGAAGTTTAAGTTTTTAAATAGGAAGTATAGATTAAAAAGATGAATAAACTTTTACTTACTTCTTTTATTGTTGCATCCTGAATTAGGTTCATTATTTCCCACTACACTATTTTCAAAGTTATTCGAATCTGCACTCGTCGAAACCATTGTCAGTGTCTAGCGCACAGTCAAAATGCCGCGAACACACTAATTTTGAACGGTTTGTGAATAAACTTATTAACTGCAGCAGTAATTTGTTAAATATCTTATCTTTAAATTCCTTGACATCTGAAAAAGGTATACTACTACTATTGTGAGTGCTTCAAAGGAATGTTTCTATCGAAGTTTTATATACCTTTACTTCTACAAATATATAAAATAAAAATATATGTACGTAATATTGAAATTTTGCATTTACTAAATTTTAACATTTTTAATAATTCGAAAGTTTTTACTACGTTAAAAAAAATGAATGCAATATTTCTGAATAATAATTGGTTTTATGCAATCAGTCTTTTATTGCCAATTGAGTACAAATCAGTTATTCAATTCAATTCTAAATGCTTAAGTGATCACTCGTATGTGTATACGAGGAGAAAGTTCAATAATAAAAGTAGTAACTCACTTATTTATTGTATTATTGAGAGAGTTGATGTCGCCTGCGCGGTTATACATGAATGATGATTTAGTGTGTCATTATAACGATCGATTAGGTACGTCCTCAATTATTTAGGATTATATAAAGAAGCCCAGAATAATTGTTTAAGTGAGTCACAATTGAGCAATAAAGACGTGCAACGCATATAAACGTTCGAATATTGCTGTTATTTTGTGGTGGTAATTTAATATTAATGTGAAAATTAATATCATTTTTATTTACTACACTAAATGACTTCAAATTAATGAGAAAAAATTGCTGCTACTGTCACATTCTCGTTGGGAATCGAACTCGGGACCTTTGGCTTCACGCACCAATGCTCTGACAACTAAGAGGTGACAGTAATAACAATGACGAAACGTACTTATTAGGTACCAGATTCGTCGAACTAATGTATGTGTATTAATATAAAAGGAAAAACTTAAAAAAAAAATTTTTTAACTATAAAAAAAGTTTTTTGAGTATTTCATATGATATTAATAGGTGATAATATTAAATAAGGTTTTACATATCATAAGTAATTTAAATTTGATTAATAGTTGTACCTGTCAACGTAATTATTACTAATTATTAATGTTTTCACTAAATCATTTACAAATATCGCTAGGTTAGGTTAGGTTAGAGAGTAAAACTCATCCTTTTCTTTTCTTTTTCTTGTTAGAAGTGATTGAGATATATTTATGTTATAGTTTTCTCAATTCAATAGCATACAATTCCTGTACATGGTGCATGCATTTGGCACCTGTTTTAATAAGTACAACAAACTAATGCTAAAATAGTTGTTTTAGTGTGAAACATCAGTCAAAATAACTTTGTCTTTACAACCCCATTTTTGTTTCAATTTTTACATTTTGGAATATAGAGAAGAAATAGAATCCATTGTTCCTCCAGGTTTAGCTTCATCTAATAAGTAAGCTATTTTATATTGTTTTTTAAGGGTTTTCAATTATTTCTATTAGCACATCATAACATCTTGCAGTTTTCAGGATTTTATGGCCCGTGTACATCGATTTGATATTGTTTTTTGGGCTATGTTCTGCCGTGGTCCATGGAATTTCACAATTTCAAACGTTCCGATCCTTGCTAAAGGTATCTCAGTAGTGATTTGCTAAGTGCTGAGTCATGAGTGAATTCAGGACTACGGCAAACCAGTCTGGAAAACGACAACAGTTTGTATTATCCATTTCCAAGGAGTTCAGATTGTTTCGGGCTCTATTCAGTTCACGTATTAAAACTCATATAAGTAATCACGACAGGACCGAGCTTGATCCAAGTTTAGCCGAAGATTGTTCAATTCTGGTCAGAGATTGGCAACAAATATTGGACCAAGCATGGCAAATGTCTGGTTTGTCATTTCGGCCCAAGTCTGGTTCACAAGCTTGGTCCACGTTTCGATAGCTAATGCTGAACCAAAACATACTAACCCAAGATTGGACAGCCGGTATTGGGTCAAGACTTGATGAACAATATTCGCCCAAATAAATACGGCTTGGAGAAACGGTCATATACCTAGCCTGGACACTTGACACTCGACTATGATCCAGTATTGACAAACCTATACTTGATTGCCCAGTATTGGACCAAACGAAATGTTAATCGTTTGTACTTAGCCTTGGCATTTGAAGGTCAGGTCCAGGTTTGGGTCTCTCAAGTTTGGCATTTCCTACTTGGAAAGGCTTCCACAGAATGTCCTTCAGTGACTCATGTGAGCAATTTTTGTTTATTTTATATAACGTTTGATCGGTGGTAATAGTAAAACCTCATGGCAAAAGGGTGTTTCGCATTTTGTAAATAGAAAATACTTATACCTAATAAAATACAAAGTGTTTTTCTCAAATAAAATCGTATTGTTAAAGCTTTTATTATTGAAAAATTCCGAATCGAAGATGCGGGAAATATGGATTATCAATATGTATACCTACCTATCTTAAATTCACTAATTTGTTTGTTACTTGGTTGTGAAATTTTGGATTCTGGGTTTGTGTTATATAGCTTACGTTTGTAATTTTATTCAAAGAAACGCAATATTTCAACTTATTATTTATTTAATCGGTCATTCAATACACATTTATGCCACAGGCGTCACCTACAAGATAGTTAGCGATATAAGTTTTGCTTGTACTTAAATAAATTGAGCAAACTTCAAAACTGATAAATCTTTATTATAATGGAATTAAATCTAGCAGGTGATTAATTACTTGAACTCTACTACATTTCACTGAAACTCTATGCTACATAGGAATTGCAACGATTAATCTAAGCATTCGTTCTATCAAAACATTCATTCAATAATAAGTGCTTACTTTGGAGATAAAATGATTTTTAATGCAATTATTACGACAAACATACCAACTGCTATCATCTTTTTTTACATCAAGCAGCGGTTAACGAAAATGCCAAAGAAAATCTACTACTAACGTTATAAAATGCCCAAAGAAACAGTTTTCTTTATTAAAATCGTATTAAAACTATCATTATTTATTATCATCATTTAAACAATGTTATTGTAATTAGTTAAAGGATCATTTCGGACCCCTCCGTTTCATATTAAAGTATAGAAATTTGTATATCAACGTAAAATTCGAAGTATTATATACTTTATTAAAAATAGTCCATATAAAATTAACAGCGTTGTCCACTTGTCTCTCGTTTAAATTTTAGTCTGCGTGCGCACCATATAAAATAACGGCTTAACTACTGAGGAAGACAAACTGTTCTCTCTTCGTGTTATCTGAGCCTGAGCAAAATGACGAAGGAGACAGGTGGACAGCAATCAGGATAATATATTAAATACTCGTACGACGTCAAGGTATGACGGAACTAACGATATACCTAATACGTGCACCGGAGAAATAAACAACACTACCCAATGTCACCGTTTTAAAAAATATTCTTCGCAATTATTTCGTTTTTCGGTTTAAGTGTTTCTATTGTTTAACCTATAACTCATTGATTTAAATATTTAGTTAGGTTTGCGAAGTTCATCACAAGTATTACTTAGTGGACACTTTTATTTGTATCAATGGGCCAACAAAAGGCAGACACATGTGTACTTTGTAAACCTAAGTGCCACAACATTACGTATGAATTATGTATATGTATGTTACCTAACGACATACATGCATGCTATAATAGTTTGGAGTAGTAGTAGTAGTAGTAGTAGTTATAATAATGTAGGATATGATATGACATACAACGATTATTTTACGAGTTAATTTCAAGCGCTACATTGTGGTTGAGATTCAGTTGCATTTAATAGGTATATGACGAATTTGAACATTAAGTTGTACCATCTGTGTTCGACATTTTGGTTCAGTGGAATAATAGTATTTCCGTAACTCTGATATTAAGTTCTTCAGTTCAGTGGCAGATTTAAAGAATGTTCTACAAAGCGTCCCTTAAGTTCTCAAAAATAACCTTCTTTTAATTAATAACTTCGATTCCTTTTCGAAATATATTTTCAGCGAGTAATTCGCCTCGAACGATCGATCGTATGTATTTATGTCCCGTAAAACTTATAGAAGGGACTCATACTTACGAGTTCCGAGGCTATTTTTTTGTTATCTTTTTCATTTTTGAAAATAGGTAGGTACCTGTATGCAATTGTACAGTGAGCCACTTACCGAACTCTTTACCCAGAATGCAATGTGGATTTTGCTATTTGCCCTCATGGCGTTTTGCGTACTTTTCACATGGAGAACGCGTTGGGCGCGGATTAAAAAGTTCCATAAATGAGTTGTTTGAAGACCCATAAGCCTAATCAATGTTATTGCCAAGGTATTTGAAAAAATCATTTTATCCCGGCTGCATGAAGAAATACAGGATAACAAACTGATAGAACCAACACAGTTCGGTTTCTCCAAAGGAGTTGACGCCGTTCACTAAGTGGTTAACATGGTCGCAAACATCGGAACGATTCGTCAAAACATCAAGAAAAACAAAATATTAGTTTCATGCCTAGATATTAAGAAGGCATACGATCGCGTCTGGAAAGAAGTCATAATAGCAAAGATGACATCAAGAGGTGTAGACAGCACTTTGACATCTTTCATAACAGAGACGTTTAGAAAACGATATTTTCCGAGTCCGAGAGGGAGAAAAATTGTCTAGTACTAGAGAAGCAAGATATGGTATCCACAAGGGACTCCCCTATTTCCAACACTATTCAATGTAATGATGGGAAATTCCATCTCTAACATAAAAGGAACAACCGTTTACTAATACGCTGATGATACAGCCGTTATGACGACTTCAAACACCGTACTCAGACTGGAAAAGCCTTGTCATGCATAAACGACTTTTGTCGCAGGTGGGTTGAAAGAAGAAGAAAAGACCGCAGTTCTGAAATTCGACGCGAATGGCCGAGGGAACGTTAGATCGGCCAAAACCAATTTTGATTCGCACTCAATTAACATACTTAGAAGTCAAAATTCACCACCAATTAAAATGGAAACTGCATGTCAAAATGCGTACTGCGGTAGCAAAGCTACGTAAGCTGTGCTATGTGATCTGGTGCAATAGCAACTTAAGTTGAATGTCACAAAAGCAATAATTGAAAAGCAAGCCGCATATGGCGAGCAGGTTTGGGCAGAAGACATCCAATTCGTACCTAAAGACATCATAAGCCTTCAACGTAGGTGTATGCGCCTAGTTACTGGTGCCCCAGTTTATGTCAGGACGATGAATTGTGAAAGGACCTTTCCTTCCAAAACCCACAAGAAAGGGCCAACTGCTAGACAGTACAGACAAGAAATTGGCAGGAAAATATCGCTATAAGAATCAATTAAGGTCAAAGCAACCCCTTTACGAAGAAAGATTAGTCATAAGTGCACCTAAGCGCTTGAAACATCAGCTATAGCAATGAACATAAAAAAAGCAGATATGTTTGTGCGATTACCAATCTCAGCCGAGGACAAAACTGTGGAAAATCATAATTTTTGGTTAAAAACGGCAAAAAACAGGTGAAAGAATTGAACGAATTTAAACTTTTTTTCGGGTGTATAGTTGGCTGTTTATAGGTAGCTCCATTCTAATAAAATATAAATTGTAAACTAAAAAATGTCGCCAAAATTAAAATGCAAGTGCACCATCGACTGGGATTCCCATTGTTCAAATTTGCTGGGGCTTAGCTAGTAAGATAAAATAAAAGTTAACATTTGTTTTACCCTTAACGCAAAAATTGTTGAGGGCTATCGGTAACTGTCGTAATTTCATTTTCTGGATCTTTCTAATTTACCCACAACGAATTCTGGCTGTTTATGTATAATAAATAATAAAACTCACAAGGCGCTTTAGGCATTTGTGGTCAATTCCGACAATTGCGTAAGTATCTACAATATGTTGATATATATAAAAAAATTAAAAAATGTATAATTTTCGGGGATCTACCTTGGATAAACTGCGAACATAATTGAAAGGAAACTTTCTGAATTTTGTTTGGACATATTTTGAGGGTTTGGAATGATCTTAATAGTTAGATGCTTAGTAAGATTAAATTTACAGTATAGTGTATCTACTGAAGAAGAAATTTACATCAGAGTGATTTTTTTTTCATTTCAATGATCTCGCTTTAAGATTCGGAGATTCAGATCTACAAAATTGCTTATACGTGGAAGTAAGTAGCTAACTGACATAGTTGTCATAGTTGTCAACCGAAATTTTTATTGCCTTAAATCACCTCAATATGTTGAATCACATCGTATTAATAAAAACTACTATCAGTTCGAATGATTAATGTAAAAGGAAAGCTGGCCAAGTTTCGAGAATCCCTGTGAAAATTTGTAATTATTACCTCTTTGCTTAATTCTATTAAATTTGTCACCGATTAAGCAACTTAAGTATGCAGTTTATTAGTAAAAATTCAATAAACTGCAAAGTTATAGCAACCACAACAGTACGAAAATGCTTTTGTAGAATCGTAGGGAAGATTAACATCTTGCTGACCGACACGAAGTAAAGTTAGATTGAAAAAATTTTTATGCGAATACCTACAAATGAGTTAGATAAAAAATATGCTGTGTTTGCTACAAAAGGTTTTTTTTTATTTTATTTACATTAATTTAAGTTTTCTTCTGAAAATAAGTTACTACCATTTTTGTGCTTCGAAAAATACTAAAAAACCTGTTTTCTAATTAATTCATTTTATGACAATGGAGGTAGTAGTTTTCAACATTATTTCTCTGAAAACACATACCACTGTTAACTGTTAACATTGAATTAAAGATTAAATGTATAAAATTAGTAGTTTAAAATATGTTTTACGATATATAGAGATTTGTATAGCTATATAGATCAGGCAAGTAATTTATTTTTCTAAGATTGTTATTTCGTCAATGAGGCAGTATTTGTTTGTAAAATATTGTAATTTAAAATAATATTTAACAGCTGTATACAGGTATATGTATGCTGAGATGTTAAAATTTAAAAATCATCGAATTATTGCATAGATTTTATTTAAGACGTAATGAAATATTAAAGCTTCTTACCCCAAGGCACTTGATAAAGTATTATTGACCAGGTCAGTGGATGACGAAAAGTGTATAGTTTTTGAAATAGCTGATGCCGCTAACGTTATAAAAAAATAGGAGTGTGCTATTGGGCAATAATAAAATATTAAAAAATGTTTGGATTCTATTAAACTGATAATTTATATTTTATGATTTTAAAGAGTGTATAATATCAAGAATTTTTATTTTATCAAATCTATATCATTCCTTTTATAATATTTGTGCTTTGTTAATGTCGCTGACAACTACGTCAGATGACAGTTAGTTTTTTTATATAAAATGAAGGTGATTTTTTTTGTTATTGTGCGTTGGGGAGTACTGTTTAATAGCAGTAGGTTAGGGTTAGGTTAGGTTAGGTTAGGTTATATTGTGCGTTGGGGAGTACTGTTTAATAGCAGTAGGTTAGGTTCAGGTTAGGTTAGATTGGGTTAGGTTAGGTTAGGCTAGACTAGGTTAGGTTATATTGTGCGTTGGGGAGTACTGTTTAATAGCAGTAGGTTAGGGTTAGGTTAGGTTAGGCTAGACTAGGTTAGGTTAGGTTATATTGTGTGTAGGGTGTACTGTTGAATAGCAGTAGTTTAAGTTTAGGTTAGGTTAGACTAGGTTAGATTAGGTTAGGCTAGACTAGGTTAGGTTAGGTTAGGCTTGACTAGGTTAGGTTATATTGTGCGTTGGGGAGTACTGTTTAATGGCAGTAGGTTAGGGTTAGGTTAGGTTAGACTGGGTTAGGTTAGGTTAGGCTAGACTAGGTTAGGTTATATTGTGCGTTGGGAGTACTGTTTAATAGCAGTAGGTTAGGGTTAGGTTAGGTTAGACTGGGTTAGGTTAGGTTAGGTTATATTACGTACAGCGGTGCAATATTCTCTTGCTATGAGTTTATTTAATCAGTGTACCTATATATGATTGAGCGTTACAATTGATACACGCTTAGCTCGTAAAATCAGCATTCTTGGCAAAGCTGGAAAAAGTTCCGGTGTATTTCATTAAATTTTGCCGCTTATATTTTAGGTTATGAATGGAATAGGTTTGATCTAAGGGACGTTACAATGTGATAGTGTCGGTTATACTTTTTTGAGGATATTATTTGTATTGCTGCAAATGAATTTGAATTCAAAGAGTTGCATAATGTACTATAGATACTACTACTTAACCGAATTTGAAAATATGCTATGTCACATTTTCCGTTTATTTTACGGATGGCATTTCGGGTTGGTCAGCGAGTTATTAGCCAGTACCTACCAACGATGATTTGGTAAGAATTGGAAAGTTGGAAATCATGATTCTTGTGTAATGGTTTCAATGAATCTCTAATGAAAAATGCAATTATTAAGCTTTTTTGAGTACTTATTTATACCTCAATACAGAATTAGGCAAAACATGTAGAGTACATTTATGGTTGCTATTAGAACTTAATTCGGAAATATGATTGTTTCACTGTATTTTGTTTCGTATTATTCATTTTTTAATAGAAATGTTGGGATTACGATTTTACCATATACGTATGTATACATGAATACAAAAATTCGAGATGAATCTAATTTTATAATCTTAATTGAAATTGCATGAGCTGATAGTGATTATAGAAAAAAATAGTTAACTACAACATGAAAAACTACTAAACTCTTATATTAATTATAATAATTTTTCTTATTCTGTATTAGGAATAGCACGTTAAGGGATTCAAGCCAGATCGTTCAGGTTACAATTTAATTTACTAGCTGGCTTTCAAGTTGTCATCTTGAATGCTATATATGTAATATAATAATAGTGTAATATTTCCGAACGTTTTGCTATCTAAAAATTTCAATACTCTTTGGTCATCTTTAGTTATGTTTTTCCTATAAATGCTCAACCATCCTACTTTTCTTTTCTACTTGAAGACGTAGATTGTCGAGATTTTGATATGCACAGACAGCGTCGATTTTAACACTCCCGGTTCTGCTCAACCTACTGCAGAATCTTAAACTCGTGAACAATTTAATTACGCAATACATTTGAAATTCTCTTCCTCGTTTCAAATTGAGATCAGAGAAAATATTTATAACACTACTTTATCATTACATTCATGAAATTGAAACTATATAATATCGTGCTTTGCTTATCATGCGTTTTATCCTTGATGTCGGCTGGTAGGAAAATTTTACTTTTTGACACAAGCGAGGTTTTGCAACGTTTTGATAATTTTGATGAAAAAGTACATCGTGCAATTTAAGTTTTGCTGATTTCTAATGTAGGACATATACATTTTCGCTTTAAGATTCGGAGATTCAGATCTACAAAATTGCTTATACGTGGAAGTAAGTAGCTAACTGACATAGTTGTCATAGTTGTCAACCGAAATTTTTATTGCCTTAAATCACCTCAATATGTTGAATCACATCGTATTAATAAAAACTACTATCAGTTCGAATGATTAATGTAAAAGGAAAGCTGGCCAAGTTTCGAGAATCCCTGTGAAAATTTGTAATTATTACCTCTTTGCTTAATTCTATTAAATTTGTCACCGATTAAGCAACTTAAGTATGCAGTTTATTAGTAAAAATTCAATAAACTGCAAAGTTATAGCAACCACAACAGTACGAAAATGCTTTTGTAGAATCGTAGGGAAGATTAACATCTTGCTGACCGACACGAAGTAAAGTTAGATTGAAAAAATTTTTATGCGAATACCTACAAATGAGTTAGATAAAAAATATGCTGTGTTTGCTACAAAAGGTTTTTTTTTATTTTATTTACATTAATTTAAGTTTTCTTCTGAAAATAAGTTACTACCATTTTTGTGCTTCGAAAAATACTAAAAAACCTGTTTTCTAATTAATTCATTTTATGACAATGGAGGTAGTAGTTTTCAACATTATTTCTCTGAAAACACATACCACTGTTAACTGTTAACATTGAATTAAAGATTAAATGTATAAAATTAGTAGTTTAAAATATGTTNCATAAGTGTCTGCCCTTTAATGTTGCTACGTTTCGATAGTGTTTCCTCGAAGGCACATTAAATGTGTGCCAACACTATGCTGTTTCAAATAATAGTGAACGTTCAAACATACATATGTATCCACACGTACATATATATATTTAACTACCGATTATTATAAAATGCGATATAGAAGAATCATATAATTGCGCGAACGTTTACAATTTCTCCATTATAATGCCCTTTTACTGGACAATAATATGCGGAGCCGATAACAATACTGCAACTGTTGCGATTATGGTAAACAGGGTGAATATTATGAGACAAACTCTATCAACCACCATTGCAGCAAATTTCCAATCACTAATGACTTCTGCCTCTTCGTCAGCTTTCTTCATTCGGGTTGTAATGAACTGCAGTTCCTTCAATATAAAATGTAATTCTCTTTGTTGGCCACTGGTAGGAATTGCTGAATCTTCGATAGTGGTTGCGTGACGAATAAAACTGGGCCCCAAGCTTGTCGTCACCGTCGAAGTATTACCATCTCTACCAGATAATCCAGACGCACCGCCTGTTACGCTCCTAAAGTCGTCATCAATATCTAGTACGTTGGCCAAGAGACTCTTCGATGAACGCTCTTTCAATTCTAATTCTTTCATCCGACTGTTCATCATTAGTGTTTTCCGGGTAATCTTTTTACCTGGCCGACTCATTCCCAACATCCATGGCAACCATTGCAAAAAGACCGTTTTGACCTACGACAAATAAAATGTCACACACATTGGCGCTGTCAAAGAGATGACAGATGGTGTATTCATACTAAAATGGTTGTTATTCAGTCAGTTGTGTATCTTGTACTCGACTTTTTGGGTTAATTAGTAAAACGCTATCGGACATTCTCGTTGGCAAGTAATTAGGCTACTTATAGGGTTAATGCAAATTAATACCTCCACCCATATTTTCACATCTGTACTGGAATACATTTGTGAGATTGTATGTAAGTTTGAATATAAAGGGTAATTTCCGAGACTACTCATTCGACTCTTCAAAAATTCTTTCACTAATATTTAGAATGGACCTTCAAGGTGAACATAGGCAGTATATTTTTCCATTAAAATAAAAGGGCTTTTCATGAAGACCAATTCTTTAACATGAAGTCGACGAAAAAACGGTCGAGCTGATGCGTTTTTTTTATATACGAATGCTGCCTTAACCATAAGAGATATATGAATGCTTTCTACAGAAAAGTTGTAAAGATTAAAAAGAGCTGTAATGAAATCCGCGACGACATATAGTTTTATGTTAAGGTTAATTCATAAATTTATAAATATGCCAAGCGGGTGAATCCGCGGACCCATATATATAATAAAGTAATTCAAGTCCAATGACTCCAACATAATGCTTTCGAGGGATGTTCAAAATTAGTTTAGGACAGTTTTTAGAGAAGCAGGTGATTGTTAGATGGATGTGGCTAGAAAAACATCCCACACGTTCACCAAATTATACATTTTTACTCGTGCGACATGAAAAGGAAAAATTCCGACAAAGAAATGTGTTTATGTTCGGTAAGCCTAGCTTTTATCAATAACTTGACAAATCCTGTATGCTGGAAAACTTCCGATAGTATATATTTTAATTTCAACGCTTTCGGCGAAAAACCACTTCCTGGACGTCCCTAGGATGTGATGGTATTTACTTCCAATGCATACTTTTGTATAACTTGTTTAAATAAAGTAACCCAGTTTATTAAATATTCTCTTGGTTATTGCGTATGTAGGCAAATAAAAAAAAACATGAAAGTAGTTAATACATTCGTTCTTAATTCCTAAGGTTAATATTTAATGATATTAAAGTGTTTTTACCCAATTAATTCAAAAGAAGGAGATAACAATTTTATACGATTGTTTTCACGGATTAACGTAGCTTATCACGGAGTGTAATCGCAACGTAATTTACGCTGCTGTTTAATACTTCCTCAAATATGCGGTACATTCTGGACCAATCGTGTAGAAGGTTTTACTGCAACGGTTCAATTACACGGGGCCTCTACAAAGTGGTGAAAAACAGGTAGAATTTTTTGTAACAACCCTAAGAAGCTCTTCACACTATTAAATAAATTGAGAAAAGGTTTAAAACAGTTCACAGATAAGGAGTTTTTCTGTTTTGTATTAAGTTACTCGATAAAAGAAATACGCATGTTTGAACATCGGTTCTTGAAATACATTTAAATAATATTTTATACAAAATTTCAAACAATCATGTTTGGTGTTTATTATTATTATTATATTCTCAAAAACATAGAAGGTACTATAATTGACGTATGATAGTGTCTTCAACTTTCAAAAATATAATATTATTCGAAAACCCGGTTGAAATTGGCTGATATCTTTTTAAAGCATAAAATAGTGGATGCAACATCATATACTAGATTCTATGATTCTTGATCCTCAGACAAAATATCCCCGCCAAAATATCCCCGACAGAATAATAATAATATCCTCGGAGAAAATATCCCCAAGTCAAAAACCTAACGTAACCTAACTTAAAGTAAGACATAATTAAAACGGAATTTATTATTCTACTAACAGATGTCACACAAACATTCATTTTAGGCGGCAAAAAACATATATAATAAAAATACACAATTTCGGTCAACATAAAGCGATTCGAAGGATTAATTGTCCGGAATTTTTTGCCTTGGGGATATTTTGTCGGAGGATGAAGACGCCTGATACCCATATTATACTACAACAGCGTGGTCGAGCGAAGAGGAAGTGTGCCTCCACATCCTTTCTTTTTCTAATAATGCGGTTTGATTTGCTCTCTCTTCCCCGATTGCCTTTTTCACTTCACATACAGGTTAAAAAAGGATATAGAGATTTATTTCTTATCTTTCCTGCGCTCGATCACGCTGTTACATCACAATAGCAATAGAGTCACTTCTCTGATCTGATCTAAAGCGCCGGCATTTTTTTTCATAAATCAAATTTATGCGAGCTGAATACGAGGACGGTTCAGTAGCTTTGTATATCGCAAGAATGGGATTTCACGATGGCATCCTGTTCAAGACAGCCACTACTTAGCGGGGAACTGTAGATGAAGTGGTGCAGGAGGTGCATTTTAGGGATTATCGACAGTTATCCTTTGTACTGTTTAGAATATATTTATATTGTGACGCTGCTGTAGTTTAAGTTGCTGCTTTAGTTTTTTAACTTGACTCGAATATTTTTTGGCACGTTTGTATGAATCATTGCACGATATTTCTACTTTAGAGTTTAAGTGAAAAATAAATATTAATTCGACGATTTTGTATTAAGATAATGTTCGTTATCGCTCAAAGGTTACATCTATGGAGCGCATGATTATTGAAGTAAATACCTAAATTTTTCGTTTGACTTTTACGTTGTGGTTATTTACTTTACTGTCTCTTTTTATGAACTGTTAAATATTGAAATAAGTTAAATTCTAACGTTTCTAAATAATTGAATTCGGGACGAAAAAATAATTATTATTATAGTTTTACTTGTGTATTGGCATTTGCAAGAGGGCATTTATCGTGTACTAATGCAGTTATCTATACGTATAAGTGCAAACGTTGTAGTTTTGTAAGCCATATTCTTTATAAAAGACCATAAACCAAGTTATACCTATGTGTTAAAATTTTTTGTTTTTCTCCAATTTCTTAATTTGTGTTTGAGATAACTTAAAATTGATATTTATAAGTATGTAATGTTTTCAGTCGAATATAAAATCGTTTTTTTGTTATTAATTATTATTTTTTCAAATCAGTACTACCTAGCTGAGAAGTGTGTTATAGGTACATGCCCTTAGAGAGAATGTTTAATTCAAGATGTCATACCCATTGCGGCATTTCATGGATGTCGGCACTTCTATGGTGGTAATTGAGAACTACTACTGTCAGTACCACCGAAGATGCAACCATGAACATTATGCAGTTGAAGTATGTTCCTGAAAATGTGGTCTATATCAAGAGAGGATCTTTGACGATATGATTAATGAAATGTGCTACATCTACAGGCGATTAGTTTTCTGCAACGTAAATAATGGCTACACTAATCTACAAAACTACAAAATAAAAACAATAAACAGAACTACACCTAAAAATTAAAACATCGGAGAAAACTCCAAGCGTCATCAATATATTATAGTCTCTACCAAAGTTTACAAATGGAAATATCAACATATAGTCCATCCTCATAGGGTTAATAATAAAAATATGTCATAATAGCTACACACAAAATCTAATTGAGATCGACTAACAACGTATAGTAATACTACATTCGTACCCTCCTCAAAATACCCTTTAGTTCTTTCCGAGGAATAAAAATAGGGTTGCAATCGCTTACCGTAACGGTAAACAAAAAGCGACCCTACCATAACAAACTGATTAGTTACGCGCTAATTTGTTAATAATATTGAACTTTTTATTGTAATCCGATTATTTACGGGTTAAGGCTGGGTAAAAGCCATAGAACAGATTAGAAGGACAGGCAAAGCAAAACTGACTGAAAGATATTGCGCTGTTGTTTTATGCGTGTTATTATTTTATGTAGGCAAGCAGTTAATACAACGTTCGCTCTGAGCAAATCATTCTATTCGTATTTGCAATTCGGTAGCTTCTTCCAGTTTTAAGTTATAGAGAAATGGCAGGTACAACATTTGTTTAATTATAACGAGATTCCGAATTCAGTTCATTTTTTAATGAATTTTAGGTCGGTAATTTTCAAACCTTTAGGCTATTCGTTTTCAAGAATCTATTTGAAACAATCATTATTTCATTGTGTTTCTTGAAAACCATGTGTTTTTTATGTGACATAGACTTTTTCCTTGAATTTTTCTTGATCATGTTTCTGATTTTGACTTTAACGGTCAATTTTTTGGAATTCGTATTGCGATCAAATTGGATCCGCGATGAAATTCAGAGTATAAAAAAATCAAATTTTTATACTCTCCTACGCCAATCGTTTGCGAATATTTGTGGTATAAATGATTTTTTGTAACTACTCAGTTAAAGGGTAATTAATGTACTGATGAAGAGCTCAGGATTAGCCAACAGTTTTATAAAAAATTAAAAGTAAATTTAGTATTCTAATCCCCTTTGGTGTAACTACATATTAGTAATCTTATTTTCACTATAAACTGTAAGATTGCTTGTGATGGTCAGGCAGACTAGAGGCCATTGAAAAATTCAATTTATTTTTCGTTTTTCCTAGACAGATTTAGAAATAGCTAACGACAAATATCTAACATTACAGAAGATTCCAAGCATTTTTTAGGAGACTTTAGTTGAAATATATGAAAATACCCTAATTTAGTGTCAGAACCTAGCTCCACCATTCAAAGATAATAGTCCTTGAACATTCCAGAGCGCTTCCGATTCTTCCGGTCCAGTTCACTATATGAGGACAATCCTAATAGATTTTCAAGAACATTCTAACTGAGGACTACCTTAGAAACATTAGAGATCATTCTAAAAGGTACATTCTCAACGGGTGTTTCGGGACCGGTAGTCGATCTGCAAACCCACCACATACCAAACTGAACATTATAGAGAGATAGATTATGAGATTCTAAAAATTTTGTTCGAGATATCTAAAATATTTAAAATAGTGTTAAGAGCTATCCTCACCATTCATACACAATGGTTCTTGAATTTTCCAGTCGAGTTCATTCAGGTAAATACTAGTCGAGTACAATCTCAGAGACATTTAAGAACGCTCTAGCTGAGTACCACTCTAGAAACAACGAAGAACATTCTCATTCTCATTCTCATTCAAACTAAACGGGTGTTTGGCAGCTGGTGGTGGATTTACAGACACACGAAAATGGACAAATATCGGACATCGCAAACATTTTTTATTTAGAACACATGTTAAAATATATGAAAATGCCCTAATATATTGTCAGGAAGCTGCCGCATCGCTAAATCATAGCGGTTCTCGAATATTCTAGATTCTCGATTCATTTGTTCATTTTAGATTATTTTACCTTTGGACAATCGTAGACATTCGAGAACATTCTAGCTGGGGAAATGCTATAAATATTTAAGAAAATTTTAAACTGGTGTTTGGTGATCGATCGTGGACGGGCAAATCTACACAGGGTGGAAAATTCGAACATCATATGAAATTCCAAACATTTTTTAGAATCCTTTGGTCGAAATATGAAAATGCTCTAGGTCGGTCACATTTAACCACCATATTTCCAATACCAACACAGTTATCGATATGCAACCATCATAGTGCACGAAGGGAAATTCGGGGCTACTACCATATGTACACAATCTTGGATTTAGCTGGGTAGTTATGGCTGCAAAGTGAAATATACGGATACATTACTTCTGATTGATTGAGTAGCCAGAAGTCTATTTCATAATTAATTTTAAAAACTCTTCCTCTATTTGTATATAGATAGATAGATAGATAGATAAAAAGCCGAGTGCAGAACGATTTCGGTAAAAGATGTTAAGTAAATTGACTGCAGATTTGATTAGGGACGTAGTCAGTGGAGATTTAACTTTTGTTGATTTTTCAATCGGCAGCTGGTGAACATTTTTTTTAATAATATCAGGAAATTAAAATTTAAATGTTTCAAATGTTTTATTTACACTCTATGATCGTTTCAGCTCCTTTGGTCTCTTTAAACACTAATATATTAAAGCTTGAAATATGAATGTGTTAGAATTTTGGCAAATAAAATAAAAATAATCTTTCTAACGAAATACAAAAGATTGTTCGGATAAGCAATAAAAGCATAGGATGTGTTGTGAAGCAAGACGCTAGATTCATCGAACATTTATACGGTACTGATTTTATAGATGTACTTACGCCAAAAGGGATATTTGAAGATTTAAAGAAGAGATCCGATTATTAAATGTCGAGCATCGAAAATTAAATATTTAACTTCAAAAGAAGTGCAGCTGAAACCTCATCTTCAATTTGCAGAACCATTACGAGCTGTCCGTAAATTACTTAAATTAAATTGGGGAGAGGGGATTCCAGCCGGGCGTTACGGTCTTTTTATGTGGGGGTAGGAGGGGATCGTGATGTGCGTTCAGAATTTACTTAATATTGAATTAGACATTAAAAAACTCTTTTTTTTTAAATTAAAGTCTGAAACTTATATAATGCCGAGGTAACGTAATGAAGTAGCGTGGGTGGGTGGGGGTGGGGATCAGGCCACCCGTTATGGTCCCGTTACTTAGGGATGGAGTCAAAAATTACTGAATTTTGAGTTACGTAATTTATGGACGGAAATAAAAATAAGAAATATTTTTCTCACCGGAGTTTCTGTGCAATTATACTAGTTGTAGTAGTGGTAGGTATTAATTATTGGTCGCTAATGAAACACTTACTTTAAAGCTAAAAAGTATATTGCTATTCGTTAATTATTGAGTTTTCACTTATTCTGTTACCTGACAATAAATATAATTTAAAATTTAATAAGAAATCAAGAGATCTACGGTTTGATAAAAATTTCGCAACGGCATATGTACGTTATATCATTTATCCCTTAAACCATGTTACTTGTGCTCAGCTTTGATACGATATTAATGTATTCTCACAGTCCTGAATTCCAGAATGTTTACATGCTCATTGTTTGACAAGATAACTCGCTGCTTTTTTGAAATGGATCGATTCTCGTCTGAGCAGTAGTAATGAAGTCTCTTTCAATTTCTTCAACTGTTTATATAAGATTGATATATAAAGAAGGTTTGATTTGTAACACAAGAAATCCTGGCGATATTGAATCCTAAGGCACAAAAATTACTTCATTCAGAAAAATCAACAGGAATCTGTTCCTTCCACATTTCAGACTTTCTACTTATTTGAAGAATGAGCGTATTATACGTATATACATGTAAAACATCGAGGATTTCTCTTTTCGGATGCTTTATACGTATCTTTTTCAGCATCTAACAAAATTTGGTACTTTTAACGCCTTTATTTATGTGTACTGTGCGACATCAAGTATTTGGCAGGAAATATTAAAATGGCTTGAGGATTTTCATAAATTGTTACGTATTTTCATCGGAAAGTTACTAGGTTTCTTTCGCATCCAGGTTCACTAGGAGGTCCTAAGTCAAATAGTTTTATGACTAAAGCGAAACGTCTTTGCTGGTTTATTAAAAAAGTGATGTTTTATCCTCATCTTGGCTTACATTAGATTCTGATGCTAATATATTCTCAAAATAAAGGGGAAAATGGAAAATGAGTACGTTTTGTGATATATTACATATTCCGAATCTATTAGATATTTTTTTTAGCAGTATTAGCATCTAGCAAGGAGCACCTAGGGATAGCTTTAAATAAAATGGAAGCGGTACTGACAGATCAGTACTGTATGAAAATAATTAAAAGTAAAACTAAAATACTTTTATGCAAGGGAAGAAAAGGGGCGAATATAAAGATAGGAGACGAAAAATTAGAAGAAGTGGCTGATTTTAGATACCTAGGAAGTCAGATAAGTCAGGACGGAAGGAGTAGTAGGGATATAATGCAAAGGATAGCGTAGGGTCGTGTCGCATTTAATAAAAAGAAGTCACTTCTATGCTCGCGAACGGTTAATTTAGAAATTCGAAAAGGGTTGTTAAAGATGTATGTTTGGAACACGGCATTGTACGGGTGCGAAACATGGACAGTGGGCGCGGCGGAAAAGAAAAGGTTAGAAGCGTTGGAAATGTGGTGTTATATGTATGATGATAAGGATATCGTGGGTAAAAAAGGTTAGAAATGAGGAGGTATTGGAAAGAATAGGAGAACAGAGGACTCTATGGAAGTCAATAAAAAATAGGCGAGATAGGTTGGTGGGACACCTTCTTAGGCATGAAGGTCTAGTCAGAGACATATTAGAGGCAGAAACAGGAGTTAGGAGGGGTAGAGGTAGACCTAGATTAGATTACTGTTCGCAAATAGTTAAGGATGTGGGCTGTTCTAGTTTTAGGGAAA